CACCCTCCAGGACCTATATCATGACTTAGGCTCTGCAGAACTGAGATCCACCCTCCAGTCTTTTCAGTCTTCAGGTGCATATCTTCCTAAGCATTTCCATAGAATCATAGAATTGTCACATAGGATTAAATTCACTTGTTTCTGCTACACATGGCCGAGCAACGGCAACCGAACAAGTAAAGAAAACTCATAGCTACTGGCCGTCCTACGAATGGGAACATGCTCTCCTAGGAGACACGAGGCGCAGGGCCTCCTTAGTCCACAGTCCTCCTTCCGGATGCTCCAGAGGGTCCCTCTGACTCGACCTCAACAAAGCACAGCCCCTCCTTCCCTTCCTCCACCTGCCTTGCAAACTGAAAAATGTCTCAGTGGCATTTGTGATCATGTCAGCTTGTACACTCTCTTTGCAAAAGATGGGATAAGAAGAAAAACACTCTCCGGCTCATGTTATCCACACTTAACTGTGGTATGCACACACATGTCAGAGGAGGAGGAACTATGAGCCCCAGCCACTGTGACTACCGGCATGCCCAAGTCACACAGGCTTGTGCTTACCGTACACAGCAGTACTCTACTGCGGAAGAGATCGAGATTACAGCACAACTTCACTCCCTTTTACCTATTGTTTTAAACATAACCATTCACTGAACTACAACAAAGGAAATATAAAGAGAACAAAGGTTCATAAATTAGATAACTGAAAAACAGAATTGATAGAGGAACAAAAAATTAAATGCAGAATGAATTTAGAATAAAATATAGTTTTGATTTGAACACATCTTCTCCATTTAACAATTACTTCCTAATAAAATAATTTGCAGATGACTCACAGGTTTTCATGAGAAAACAGACCTAGTCACTGTTCTTTTAGTCAGAAAGAAACCTATAATTAGTTAGAACCACTGAATTATAATACACATACACTGTATTAGGTACCTGGGACAAAAACTGTAAAAAGCGTGTCCCATAAAAATATAATCTTGAGTACTACAAGCCTCTCGGGGGAGAGCAGCACTTATACACTACATAATCACTATACAATACTGAGTTCCTCAGTGTTTTGTTTTTTTGTATCTCTTAGGGAAGGGTCTACAGGGTATTCAGGTTCTTACTACTAGATCGGACTTGTAGTGATCCGCCTGTTTACACCCTCCCAAGAGCTGGGATTACAGGCATGGGCCACCACACCCTATCTTAATTACCATCTCAGAATGCTCTGGGGCCAGGGCTGGAACAGCAGGCCCAGGGATCGAACCCCTGGCTCCTGCACCTGCTTGCAGGGGCTTTAATCTGCTGAGCTACTTGGCCAGCCAGTGTTTTAATTTGAACAAGAATATAGTTTTGAAATAAAAAGGGTTTTTTTTTTTTTTTAAACATTTAATTCTTTTGGATCCATTTGTCTTTTGATAAATGAATATAAATTTATGTACGGAGTTAATGGGGTTTTGGTAAGACATCTTTTCCACTATTTAAAATTTAAAAGGGTATTATGAAGCTGTAAAATTAACATTCAATATGATTTTAAATTACTTTATTTTCACTGACAATTTATTTGTCCACTACTTTTATATTTTACTTCAGCAAGAAACATCTACTTATACCTCATCACTCAAAAAACCAAAGTGAGGGCCAGCCAAATAGCTCAGCAGATTAAAGCACCTGCTTAGGCAGATGCAGCAGCTGGGGTTCGATCGCCAATCCCTGTTGTGTTGTGCAGGCCCTGACCCTGGGGCCTGCTAAAATGGCCACTGAGACTGGGCGTGGTGGCGTGTGCCTGTAATCCCAGCTCTTTGGGAGGCTGAAAAAGGTGGATCACTAGGAGTCCAATCTACATAGTGAGACACTGTACACTCTGAAGACCCTTACTAAAATACAAAAAAAAAAAAAAAAAAAAAAAAAAAAACCAACCACAAACACACACACACACACACACACACACACACACACACACGTAACAAAAACCAAAGTGGAGTGGATCTCTGCTAAAAGTGTAAACGCCAATGGTGGTTCCTCCTCGGCAGCACCAGAGCTGAGGGCCGGTGCCAAGTCAGCCCAGTAAGACCTGGATGTGAAGCTGCAACCCTGATGAGCCAGTGATTCTAAAAGATGATTAATGGAACTAGCACAATCTTCCAGGAATAAATAATTCTATTGGTGGTATGGTTATTAAGAGTAGATGAGGGCCAGCCAAATAGCTCAGCAATTAAAACACCTGCAAGCAGG